TTCTCCGTCATTCTTTCATTCTCCTTCCGGCTTCAGGATGCAGCCTTAAATAGCACGCAGTTCCTGCCTTCTCTTAACCTCATTCTGGTGAAATCGATAAGTGGGAAAATAGACGACAGCCCAAATGGCAACGGGGCCTAGAAAAGAAAACAATAAACTTAAAAACAAAATTCCGGGATATGCATTTTTAATGTCCCTAAAGGCATGTATTAGTTTGCTAAGGCTGCCCTTAAAAAAACACCGCACACCGGGTGGCTTAAACAATAGGAATGTGTTTTCTCACGGTCCTGGCGGTTTGGGCCCCTTTCTTCCCATATTCTCACGGGGTGTCTCCTGTGAGCCTGCAGCTGGGGGAAGAAGCGCCTGGTGTCTCTGTGATCCATTCTCCTCTTAAAAGTCGCCAGTCGGACTGGATTAGCCTTCCTCAGAGCCTCGTTTTAACTTATCTCTTTAAAGGTTCAGTCAACATTGAAGAAAACTGAACTCACCTGAAGATACCTAAGAGATGGTGAGATAGGAGAGGCTTACCAGAGCAAAAACTGAAAAAGGTAGCATCCAGAAAGTTAATCCAAGTTAGAAGCAGCTTTTACTCAGCTAGCTGGAAAATTGAACTTTGGTTTTGTACTCAGAGAAGGATGGGGAAAGGATAAGGAGTTGGGATGGATATAGGAGATCCTCTTTACCTGACTAGGACCTCAAAGGGCTGATTGTTCCTTTAAAGAGGGGAGACTGAAGTACAACAACGCGGGAAGGAATTTACAAGCTGAAAAAATTTTCCTGTCTTGGGCTGGGATCTTGGGTCAAGGACATCTCTGATTGCCCATTGAGTTGAAGACAGTAGCACTTGGACTGTTAATGAATTTGAAAACAAAAAAACAAAAACAAATCGGCAGTAGACAGTTTATTAAACACGCTGTTGTACAACCACATCAGGTGCTCCCAGAGAAGGGATCGCAAGGCTGCAAGAGGGTGGAAGGCCTTTGGAGCTGGTAAAACTAGTTTTAGTTTTATCTCATGGGCCAGTCTGTGTGTGGTGCTGTCCATACTTAAGGACCACCTGGCTTCTGTCTTGCTAAGTAGTCTGTTCCACAGCAGTAGTTATCTCCTGGACAGACACCATCTGTCATTCAGAGGTAGGCTCCGAATGCTCCTGTGACTTCACAAGCCATTGGTTCCCCAATGGTTGTTAGTGTGTCAGCACTTTTTATTCCATTTTTAGGCTTTTTATTTCTTTATTTACTTATTTGTCTCCACAGTCACATTACAAGAAAAAATAGTGTCTTCTTTAGCAGATAGGACTATAATTGTAGCTGGGCATTGGTGGTGCATGCCTGTAGTCCCAGCACTTGGGAGACAGAGGCAGGCGGATCTCTGTGAGTTAGAAGCCAGCCTGGTCTACAGAGCGAGTTCCAGGACAGTCTCCAAAGCAATACAGGAAAACCCCCGTCTCAAAAAAAAAAAAAAAAAAAGCATTATAATTGTAAGTACTTGGTTCCCTAAACATAAGTTATCAGTTACAATGTCAAGTGCAGACTTAGAGATGACCAAGCTGTGGGTGAGTTCTATGTGATATTAGGGCACTTACTCAGCCTGCCTGAGGCTCTTAATTCAACCTCCCAAGTCCCAGAAGGGGCACCAAAAACTAATGTTTCCTTACTATAAAGAAATAAAACACAACTTGGATTATTTTGGCAGATACCTGGAAACTAAAAATTTTTTGTAGGCTCATTGGTATTTATGTTTGTGCATGCACACACAACAGAGTGTGTGTAAGTAACCTAATGAGAGTTTTCAATGCATGCTGTAACTCAGGTAACCCCTGAAAGAACAGGAATGTGCAACTTCAAACTAGTAATGAGGAGAAAGGAATGATAAAAGATATCCCACTGCAACTGTACTGAGAAGAGCTACCACTGAAGGCAGCTGAGGAGGTGCCCTCAGATGTGATGCTCTAAGTGCAGCAGAGACCTGCAAGAAGTCAGGTCATGGCTATCTGTAGAAAGACTGTCCTAGACAGGCAGTAGTGTCCCCGCCCCCCTTTAATTCCAGCAGAGGCAGGTGGATCTCTGAGTTCAAGACCATTGTGGCTACAGAGTTCCAGGACAGCCAGGGCTACACAAAGAAACTCTATCTCCAAAAACAAACAGCAACAACAACAACAAAAAAGACTGTCTTAGTAGAGAGCAAAGTTCCTGAGTTGGGAGCACTTGTAGTCAGATGCCAGACTTCAGTATGGTTTGAGGCAGACCATGCTAAAAACATTGTGACTACTCTGAAAGATATAGGGTGTCACTGAAAAGTTTGGAACTGAGAATCAGCATGATCCAACTTCTATTTTTATACATTTGTATTTATTGTATGTGTTCATGCACACACACACACACACACACACACACACACACACACACACTGCAGCCACAGCATGCATATGGAAGTCAGAGGACAACTTGCAGGTACTGGTTCTCTTCTTTAACCATGTGTGTTCTAGGAATCAAGCTCAGGTCACCAGGCTTAGCAGCAAGTACCTTTATTCTCTGACCCATCTTTCCAGGCCCAAATTTCTCTTTTTAGCACAATCAGACCTCTGCTTGATGTAGTATAGCCTGTGGTAGATGCAAGGGGTGCAATAAATCAAATAATAATAACAAATTGTTTTTTAGGTGGCAGCAGCATTGGTGGTAAGTAAAGGTCTATTTTTAAGCTAAACTAAAACATTACTGTGTGAATCCACACCAGTGCCTGTGTATGTAGTGGTCAGAGGGTAAGCCTAAAGTGTCATTCCTCAGGTTTCATCCATGTTTTTCCTTAGGACAGTGAGTCCCAGAAACTGGTCTGTCTCAGCCTCCTTCAGCCATTGAAATCACAAGCATAGGACACCATTTGGGTTTGGTTTTGTTTGAGATGGGAGGCAGAGGCAGGCCAATCTCTGTGAGTTCGAGACCAGCTGGTCCACAAGAGCTAGTTCCATGACAGGCTCCAAAGCTAAACAGAGAAACCCTGTCTTGAAAAACAAACAAACAAAGTACATTTTAAAAAATTAACCTAAAAATAAAGTTAAAATAGCCTCATTTTTAGGTTAAGCGATCCATTTGAAAATTTGTAATTCAGGAGCTAATGAATTGTCCCAGTGGATTAGTGGACAAACATGGAGGCAAAATACCCACGCACAAAAAGCTTTTTAAAATAAAAAATAAAATTTGTAGAGTCCCTTCTTAGCAAGGCTGTGGCTCTAGGTTTGGTCTAGCCACACCACTAAAAGGAAAAGAATGTTGTGACCAAAAGTTCATATTCTGCCAGGCATCATAGCAAAGGCCTATAATCCCAACAGGGAGACAGAGAGTTTAAGGACAGCCTGGGCTACAAAGTAAGATGGTTTCAAAGAAAAAAGGAAAAAAGAAAAGGAAGAGCAGTTTGCAGCTATGATGAATTTCAAAATAGTCATGCTATTTAAAAGTTTGTGTGGGTCCAAAAGGCAACAATGCACACACACACACACACACACACACACACACACACACACACGCACACAGCTACCTAAGAATAATAACCCTTTATTCATGGTCTTCATTCCTTGTCTCGTTTCCTCCACTTCCCACTGGTATTTCCTGAGTTTCACAAATAAGCGACTTGTGTGCCCTTCTTTGTCTCACCATCTGCTTCTGAGATAACCCAGATCAATCCCTGAATGTGTGAACAATGGGCTGGAAGTCACCTCTCCTGTGAAGTGAGCCATCATGTCTAAGGAGCCTGCATTACCCCCCCCCCAAACAACAGAGTCCTTGAAATCTGTATTTAATGGACCTCTGATAGATAGCACACCCTGGAAAGACAACTCACCAAGCTATCCACGGAACAATTTGTATTTTCCTAGACACAGGACATACCTCAGTTAGCATTTGAAAGGATAAGTTCCTAACAGTTAAAATCATCCTCGAGAGTCTCAGTTAACACTGGTTCTTAGCTTCTACTTCAGTGAATTTGCTCAGTTTATTTTTACTTATTTTTTGAGACAAGATCTTGCCATTGAGCCTGCACTGACCTCAAACTCACAAAACAACCCTCCTGTCTCAGACTCCAGTGCTGGGATTTCAGGCATGCCTAGTTTTCATTCAGCTTATAGGTATCCTTCCACCCCTTGAAAACTCAACAGTTATTATGAGAGCCTTTTCTCTTTCAGGAACGGTGTTCACTAGCACATGAGAGGGTAAGCAGTATTATCCTTCTTCTTCTGCTCTAGACGGCGGTTTTATTCATAGACATAAATCTACAGGACAAGGTGAACGGAAAAGGAGAAAAGTAACATTTTGGAAACTGGCAAACAGAAGTGGGTGCTAAATAGTTCTGAAAAGGCTGAATTCAGCCCTAAGCAAGCATCGAGAAGAACCAGAACGAATTATCTTTGATAGAGATGGTTTGCCCGGGGTATACTGAAAATGGGAGTGAAAGTGATGCTAAGAGCAGAGTTCTCATGAGACACTGTTGAAGCAGCACTGATTCCCAGCCTCCCTGTGCTCTGTAGTCAGACGGCAGTAGTCATTTCAGAGGGGACTCAGAACTAATGGGCACCAGACATAGAGGAGGACCAGTTCTGTGCTGAACATGGAGGGTAGGCTGGGGCAAGGATAAATGAAAACATACACAAAGAACTTAAGATTCCAAGCCTCCTTTCCAGAATGTCCCATCTGGTCTACCCTTCATAGGTGTATCTGAAAAACCCTCTCCAGTGAATCCAGAGTGCCTGAGGGAAAAGATCTAAAGATACCAACTAGACGCCACTCACATCTGTCAGGGAGGCTGAAGGTCCTGTTGGGTGAGGCCTTC